GATAAATATCTCGTGCCTGTTGTACAAATACGGCATACGAAATAGGGGAAGGAAAACATTTATCTTTGTAGAAAGAAAATTTTCTTTAATATTCTCGAATTCACTTATTTTATAATAAATGTTAAAAAAAAAACAATTTAATGCTGATATCATCGCGAAAGTCAGGGAACGTCCAACGTATAGGAGAAAGTAAACATTTATCTTTGAAGAAAGAAAATTTTCTTTAATATTCTCAAATTCACTTATTTTATAATAAATTAAAAAAACAATTTAATGCTGATACCATCACAAAAGTCAGGAAACGTGCAATGTAATCGCGCGGCAGGTTTAGAACCGGTGGTAATTTGTTTCTTCTCCCTTCGCTTTCTAAACGGCTTTACGTGACGTAAGTAAACTTCAGTTATACAGAAAAATGATTCCGTTCATTTTCTCGGGAAAATTAGGTTAGACTCTCGCTGGTTTTTTAATTTATTTGTAATTGTCAAGCCGGAAATATTGGCCTAAAATTAGTAAGAAAAGTACATTTTCTCTCCATCTTGCAATAAATAAAACATTTAACGAAGCAATATCTTTCCTGATACATTCACGTTTTTGGCACTCGCGCCTTTTCTATATATATATAATATCTTCAGCTCTTCACTTGTTACATAATTCTATTTGTTGCAGGTGAGTTTTCCCAGAATACAATAGACTCTCTTTCGTTTTCTCCCTCGTTTTCTTTCTTGCCTCCGTTCCGCGCGACAAACCGCTGGCACGCTCGCCGCGCTTCGCGTTTCTGCTGGGTCAGTTCTTCCCCCCTTTTCGGTCCTGACCTACATCTCACGGAGGCGCCTCCTCGTAAAACCATCGCACGAATCTTCCGATTCCGTTCCTCCCGGCCGCACCGCGAAGCGGTCTATGATTCACTACGCGCTTTATCGCTTCGTCCTTTCATGCCGCGCGGCGACGCGCAAGAGACGCGAATGCATAATTTCGGGGTCTCGCATTTCCCTCTTTCTGCAGGTGAAAAGGTTCGCGAAATTCTTACGAGGCTCGCGCGGAAGAAGCCGTGTTTATGCGCGCCTCGCATAAACACGGAGGGAACGGCAATAAAAATGGAGAGATTTATAAGGGAGAAGGAAACGCGGTTTAAGGAATTAAGTCAGTCACAGGTCCCACACGCGCATGTGCGTTCGTACACAATTAGCACGCGATAACGGATGCATAGGTCGCACTCCCGGAATAAGGACATTTCCCTCCTTTCAATTAACTAACCCGATCCCGGCCTCTGCCACTCCTCGCTGCTACTCCGAGATTATTTAAGTCTGTAATAACAGAGCTACCGCTGCCGCCGCCACGCTTCGCCGTTGTACCTGTTTTCCGACGACTATACGAATGCCATTCTCGGCAACCTCTCTCTCTCTCTCTCTCTCTCGTCCTCTTCACCGCCACCCTCTCCCAGTGTGTTCCGAGCGCGCATACACACGCCGAAATTTAATTACTCTCCGCGCGGATACCCACCGAAACTCCCCTTCAGCCCGTAATAATTTTGTCGGAAGCCCCGGGTAATGCCGGGAACGAGGAGCATTTCGGGGAAGTCGCTCGCCCTCTTCGCACTCACCTGAGAAATTCGCCGAGACGGGGAGAGGGACGAGGGGAGAGGATATCCTAATCCCCCGCGCTTCCCCGTCTTCCGCCGCGCTTAATCCACACCGTTGTACTCCGCGTGTTAGAGACGATTAAACGAGCTCCCATTTTTATACCGACGACACCGAAGGTAATAAGAACTATAATGGCGTTGTTGCAATTAAATTTAATTCTGACAAACAAGATTCGGCCGTGATTAAGTATCGTTTCGGTGAGGTTTAATTAATGTATACATAAATAAACAGGAATGCGCGACTTTCTAAACAGAGTAACAGGATCGTCGATTTCTCAAGCAGCAATTAGCGAAATTAATTTTGCATATCTTATAAACATCTCCTCTTTATAACCTTCTCTTATCACCTTTTTGTAATCACAGCCAGGAAATACATTTTCCTCGTGCAATTTAGATTTCGCATAGATCATTTTCGAAAGAGTTGAATTAATCTGATAGTTTCGAAACGTTACCGGTTTAAATCAACAGAGAGGAAGAAAAATGCACTTCTTTCGAGAATCGGCGCGCCTTGATTTTCCGGAGAACTGCAGTTTTGAAAACGTGGTAACGGAGGCACGTGCTAGAATTTGAATACAGCGTGGCTTCTTTTTAACCGAGAAAGCAACAAAGTCCCATAACGCGAGTCACGTACGACCTAAATTACCTGCGTGCACAGCGTTAGAATTACTCCGAATAACGCCTGAAGCCACATGCCGATTACAATGTGTAATGTCGTAATGTGTTAAGAAGATGAAATGAGAAAACGCGAAGAGTGAAACGTGAAGTATCTCATGAATGCATCCGTAGCAGTGTTGTTATTAAAAAATTTACGATAGCATTGTATCAATTAATTGGGGTCCATTACTATATATTATAATACTGCTCGTTATTTCATTTCTTTATATTTAACTTTAGTAAGGATTTTTATATATTTTTAATAATTATTTTTAGACAATAAAGTAATTAATCTTTATATTTATATTCGCTCTCATATGATATTGTTGTTATTTCCTCGGTAATGTAAACCTACGGTTTTGACAATTGTGGAATCATTATTAACCCACGAATGCATTTACACACGCGCAATTTACTGTAATGAATACCATAATTTACTACAATGAGAATCATATTTTACTTATTATGTAGTGTTATTATAGGATTAAATTATGGGCCATCGTTCTGCAATTCTACGTAATTACGAAAACTCGAGTTTCTCTGAGATTTCTAATGTAATATTAAGTACTGAAATCTCGTAATAATATAAATATTTATGTCACCATGAAATATTTCTACAACAAATTAATAATCATTATCAATTTTAATTCTACAACTAAGACATCGAATTTAAAATTCTCTAAAGCCTAACGGTAATTGCAATCATTTTTTCTTTCTTTCTAAGCTATCCTTCTATCTCTCTGTCAAGATGCGTTTTTAAAAACACATGCAACATTACCCTCGCGCCGAATGTGTATGGAGATGACTAGAGATTTGCATAATACGTTTTTACATTACACCCCGATGCCTTTTACGTAAGAGTTGTACCGCGCATAAAATGACTTGCATCGTGCAACGATATTTTGCATCATTCAGTAGATTCTTAGCCCTTTCAGTTTTATTGTGCACGCACCCTATGTTCCATGATTCCATCTGCTTATATCAAGTCACTCCATAAATTCATTTTTAATGCTAGCATACACCGTGCGCGCTTATATCTTCAAGAAATTTTAAAACGATAGAAAAAGCACACTCAATACTTTTAGAATGACGTTACACATTTTTTTAATCGATAAATCTCAGGGTCACAGTCCTCTCTCTATTTATATAAAAAAATTAATTGAGATAAGTGTATCCGCATAATTATACGCAAACGCGCAGGAACCGATGGGGTCTGATGCATTTGCCGTTAATGAGAGATTTAAATCGCCTCGAAAAGCGAGGAGGAAATTCGTAGCGAAAATATGTCGGAGTTCGCGCAACCGTGACAAATATACTTCGGAAGTGTGATATATGGACTGGTCCGGCGGTGCCTTATTGTGGCCACGTACGTAAAGGACCGCATGAGTGCCTCCGCGTCGCGTTATCCTACCCCACCCCGTCGTTCCCTCTTGACGCACGGACCTCCTCGCCTTGGATCTCTCTCTAACTAGGGCAGTAATTTTCCCGAATGCTCGTCCACTACCATTCTCCTTCACGCACTCTCAACACCCTCGCCTCCCACTTTCGGCGCCCTCGTTCGTTTTATCTACCCGCGTCGCGTGCAGGGGGTGGAACTATATATTCAGCTACCAGACACGGAGTAACAGACGATGATTCGCTAATTAAAGTCATAAGCGGTTAATTTATCATATCACCGCCCCGATACGCGTGCCCGCGTGTGTTAAGCTGTGTGTGCTAAATTGCATTCTGAGTGTGGAAGGCTTTAATCTCCAAGTACGTAATTACGTTTTTGCAGCATTACGTATGTAGATATACATAGTCCAAAGATACATATAATAAATTGTCCCTCTAAATACATATATAATTTTCAAGAACAAGAGAGATGGTATCTTTTCTAAACGTAAACCGTAAAGCCATTTTAAAATAGATATAGATTCAAGAATATATATAGATACAGATATAACATATTATAAAGATACAGGAAAAAAGATTATTGACGAACCGAAATATGTATATTCCGCATTAATTAATTATATTTATTTAACAAATTCGTTATCGTAAATGATCAATTACGATCGGAATAACGATACTCATCAAGAAAACATTCCGTCATGTTATAATATGTTGAAACCAGAAATAGCAGTTGCAGTAGAACAAATGTCGAAGCGTTAATTAAAGTTTCTTAATATATTATGCGACGAAATTAAATTATCATTTAATTAGCACATAATTCAAGCGAATACTGTAATTAATTACAAACTACATATTAAATTCGCGTTCAATTTCCGTTTCCTGCCTCGCTCAACGTATGGGATTTTAACTAACATTTAAAAATATTTTGAAAACAATTAAAAAATGATAAGTAATTATTTTAAAATACAACAAGAAAATTTTAATACAAAAATAAAAATTTTAATTTAATGTAATTAAAGTAAAAAATTTAAAATTAATTTATTAAATATCTTATAATATTTCGTGATTTCTGATACGTTAATTATGAGTGATAACCGTAGAATAAGACTCAGTTCGAAATAATTGTAAATGGCCTTAATTAAAAAATATTCCTCATATTTTTAAATAATACACATTAAATATAGAATGTGCATATAATCTCCAATGTAATTTGAAATGTAATAAAATATAAATATATATATACGTAATATAAATATAATGTAATATTTATACGTAATATTCTTATGATCTAATATGACGTGTATTAACGTATATCTTATACGTTTGATCATTATCACAGATTCATAATGCCTCGTAAATCAAAATAAGAGACTCACCGAACGATGCGCAGCAGCGGAGTTGAAACTACGTTGAACTGTAAAATAAAAATATATCCAGATTACAATAGCGTTCAAAGTAATTAATATTAAAATTTGAAATATTAATATTAACATATTAATATTAATCTAGTAATATTTCAAGAAATAAACGTTGCGTGTATTAAATAATTGCCAAAGATTTAGCAAGTATTAAATGAAGTATGTATGATAAAGTATAGTCACCTTATAGTTGCTCCGCCGTTGCCCGATGCCTCCTAGGCCCCCTCTTCCTCTCAGGTTCCTTGATTTCGGCGTTGAATTACGTTGAACTGTAAAATAAAAAGTATATCCAGATTACAATAACGCATCAAATAATTAATATTTTAAAAAATAAACGTATTAAATATTTTAACATAAGTATTCAATGAAATGTGAATGATAAATTAAGTATAATCACCTTGTAGTTGCTCCGTCGTCGCCCGATGCCTCCCAGACCTCCTCCTCCTCTCAGCTTCCTTAGTTTTGGCCACACAACGCAACACTCACGTATACCGTTAATTACAATCGCGCACGATTCTCAAACGTGGGAATTATTCAATACGTACGAGCTGATCATATAACGACAAAAATAATCGCGGCGAGCGTCTCTTAGTACTTGCTGCATAACAAGAAATAATGCGAGAACGTGAAGCTTTTCACTATCGTTACGCGAATGAAAACAGAGCGACTTGCGTACCCCGCGTGTGTCGTACGCTACAAAAAAAAAACGAACGCCGAGCGTCGCGCGCCAGTTCTTATATAAAAAATATTCTATGCATTTGTATAATCGAGATACATGTTGAAATATACTCCGTTCTCTATATTTCGTGTTGATTATTAATAAATCAGTATGCTCTACACACGGCATTGTGCTACTTTAAATCACACGGACCGTGCTGTGCATCGCTCGATCCGCGTTCCCGATTTGAAAATGAGAGATAAATCACGTATGAATTTAGAGTAGAATTTGAAGCGTGTATATATATATCATATACCTTAATGCAAGCGTCATTGACGAAATCATGAGTCGCAAGTATTAATGAAACTTTGAAATTCTCGTTTCCGATCGCTCCGATTTCAAGCTAAATATCCGCGTCTCGACGCGGTGGCGTCGCGTCGCCTAACCTTACTAATTCGTGGTGAGAGAGAGGTAATTCGTGGGACGCTTACCGATCATTAGCTACCGTAAGAAATGTACGCGTTTGATGTCCTGAGAAATAATGCAACGATTATAGTTACAAGGGCTTCTCGCAATCGTCGTGCCTCGAAAGATAATAACGCGATATTGTGCGTGAAGCAGAACGAGCGCACATCTCCTACCGACTCGCTCGGACGTTGTCGGCGTTGTCGCGCGAATTGGCGGCATTGGCGAAGGTCGCGCCAGTCGCGCGGCGCGCCAGCACACCGTCGTACCGACCGGCGAGTACGCGCGCCACGGCGCGCCCGACCTTGATACGCACTACGTCGCGCCGCGTCGTAGAGGTTTGTTATGAATGTTATGATACGCGCCGCGAAGGAAAGTGTTATTCCGTACGTATGTAAGCAGGAAGAACAAAGGCTGCGTTACGATATTCACGATCAGCGCTGAAAATCTGTGGCGTACGTTAATATAATAATATGCATGTGCGAGATAGATTTTCACTGCACTGGTGGTGGAAATATCGGACGCGGCTTGAAGTGACGAGCAGATTGGCCAATCGTAATTGTGGACTAAAAATTCTTACTTTAAAACTCTCGACTGCGATTGGTCGGTCCGCTTACCACTCGAGTCGTCCTACTCGTGTTACTTGCTTGCGCTTTTCCCAGCGGTACAGTACTACAGTCGCGAGACTCGCGAGGCGACGCGGCCGAAATGACGCCGCGCGACAGCCGAATACGATAAATTTTTTTCGTTTCCCACACTTCATTAGAGAGGACTCGCAAGACGATTGCGAGAAGCCCTTATAACTATAATCGTTGCATTATTTCTCGGGACATCAAACGCGTACATTTGTTACGGTAGCTAATGATCGGTAAGCGTCCCACGAATTACCTCTCTCTCACCACGAATTAGTAAGGTTAGGCGACGCGACGCCACCGCGTCGAGACGCGGATATTTAGCTTGAAATCGGAGCGATCGGAAACGAGAATTTCAAAGTTTCATTAATACTTGCGACTCATGATTTCGTCAATGACGCTTGCATTAAGGTATATGATATATATATACACGCTTCAAATTCTACTCTAAATTCATACGTGATTTATCTCTCATTTTCAAATCGGGAACGCGGATCGAGCGATGCAC